TTTTTTTGTACCAGGACTCAAACTCGGGACCTTGCACTTGCCAGGCAGGTACTTATGCCGCTGAGCTATATCCCCAGCTCTGCATCTGCTTTCTGCAACCAAACCCTGCAGGACACGTGCATGTGTGCATGTGTGCGTGTGCATCTTGGTGTCTACACTTGGCACCGGGCACACGAGTGACTGGGAGACTAGCAGGTGGGCCTGTGTGGAGGACCACCTGGGTGACTCTCCTTGAAAGAGGAGCAATGGTCTCTGTTTTGGCTAAGCCTGACCCTATTTCCATGCATTGACAGGTACAGAGCTGGCTGGGACTTTTCCTTATCCTTTCAATTGGCTTTAAGCAGTGCATATCGGTCTAGCGGAGGTGCTGATAGTAATCTTTGAAGATGGTAGGCATGTTTTCCCGGGCCCCTGCTGTTCCCACAAGTGCGCCAGGATGAGGCGGGATGTGTGAGCCAATGCTCCTGTCAGCTGGGATTGAGCCTCGGGGGAGATTATGACTTCCTGGGGCTAGAAAGATTACACATCAGAGCTGAAGCCTAGAGCCCAAAACATCAGATACTACCTCAATTGTGTCACGCAGATTACTCTCTCTGCAGATCCTCCTCTCTGCCTTGGCAGAGGTGATTCCTGGTCTCCTACCTAGCCCAGCTCAAGCACACACCTACTTCCCAGGTTCTCACAGTCACTCATCCTCAGGCCACTCCCTTCCTCATGAGTGAATAAAACCTGGGTTTGGCCTTGGGTCGAGGCCTTTGTTCTGGAAGCCATCATCACGGCTGGAGTTAGGACCCCTTGGCTCCCCACAACTACAAATATGTCTTAGCGTCTTTATTCTCGCCATGGGTTGCACTGGAAGTGGCAGACTGGAATTAACCCGCTAGGATTCCAGTAACTTTTCATGGGGTTACAAATATAAACTTCTTGGGCGGTGATGAGGACCGGGAAGGGCTCTCTATAGGCGTCTCCTCTCTGCCCACCCCCGGCCAGGGTAAAGCATGGGGGGAGCGGGGTGGGGGCTGCCGCTTACTTCCTCGTCTTCCTCTGCACCCACGCCAGCAGCGTCTTGATGGCCTTCCTCTGGTCTTTCACCGCTATGGCCACGTTCCTCTCCGCCGTGGGGGTGGGTGGGTAGGAGGAGTCCGAGTCTGTGCCCCCCGAGCCCGGCGACAGGCTGGAAGATGGGGAGCTCCTGCTGAGGTTGCCCGTGAGCTCCTTAATCTGGAAGGAAAAAGGCACTGTGGACGCCAGCAGCACGTGCAGCAGGTGGCTCTGCCGTCTGACCCGGGCCGCAGAGCCCCGGCTGGGGGACCAGATCGTGCAGAGTGAGCTCTTGGGACAGGGAAACAGCGCTGTCTGACAGCAGAGCTGCCGCGTGTGGCATGGGGTACCTGTAATTACACTCTGTGGGGAGCAGTTTCCCTCTGCAGCCCGCAGATGGGCCAACCTCGGCTCCCCAGGGCGTCCTGCCCTGACTCACCAGCCCCCTTTCCCGCTCTCCTGCCACTCCCAGAGTGCGTCTTGCTCCTTCAAGCCCCAAAGACCCTGTTTCTCCTACTCCTGCTGCCTGGATGCCCCCTTCTGCCCTCACAGAACACCTATCACAGGGATGCTTGTGAGAAGTGTAGACCCCAAGCCCAGACCTGCCTGTGAAATCAGAATCTGCATTTCAACACTGGTCCCAGGTAATTCATATACACAGTAAGTTTGAGAAGCAGTGGTCTAGCAGACTCCTATTCACCCTTCAAAACCCAGCTCTGATCACTTCCTCCAGAGAGTTTTCCTTATTCCTCTTACCCCATGAGGTAGATGCCCCTTGCCCACCTGTCTGTGATCCTAGAGGGTTACAAGGACAGGGCCGTGTGTACCAGCACCTGGCATCCTGCAGAAACTCAAAGGACATATGCCAAAAGAATGAATGAATCACAGCTGGGATAGACTTAAAGCCCTGACTTTAAGACAGTTGAAGTTTGATAACAGATACAAACTTCCCTGAACCTTTATAAAATAGGAGCCCTTACATATGGCTTTTCTTGGTGATTACTCCTGAGAACCATGGCTCCCATTTCACAGATAGGGAAACTGAGGCTTAGAGAGAAAGTTGGCTTTTTTTTTTTTTTAAAGCTCCATGCTCACACAGAATGCAGTCTGTGTCTCCAAATACCATGCTCGTGCTTCTAAGAAATGCGAGCCTGGGTCCAAAGCCCCAGTAAATCTTCCTTGAGTGGATCATTTCTACTCTGAGTGCAATCATTAAACAGCGACCCATGCTCTTTCTACTCCTCAGTTCTTTTTCAGTGAAAAGTGAAGCAGTGGGAACTACGTCTCCTGTCCCCCTTGATCTGGATGTGGCCGTCTCATCAGCATGAAGCAGACCCGAGATGGTTACCGTGTGGTACAGAAGGGAAGCGATTTTACCTGGAAGAAGAGGATGATGTTCCATATCAGCCCGAGAACCAGAGAGGGGTTGCCGTCCGCTATTTCTGCTGCATCGATGCTAACCAGTTTCACCTGGTGAGAAGGGCTTTATGCATTTAAGGGGTTTTCCAGGGATGTGGACCTACGTTATTCTGTTGACTTTGTAAGCCTGTCTCTCTTGCCCACTCTGTACTGCCTGATACTGCCCAAGGCCGCCTCTCAGGGACACTCAGCGCGCCGATATGCATTTGATGAACACGTACACTCTCCTAAACACTTGCAAGTATTAACCCGGTTTATTCTCACAACAACCCTATAACGTGGGTATTTCTATGATCCCTCCAGCTCAGGAGGACGTTTCAGAGAGGTTTAGTATAATGTGCCCAGGGCTACATAGCTCCTAAGGTTCCTGTTGGTCTCTTCCAAGGAGAGACGGCTGTGCTCAGAGGTCTGTCCGCACGCTGCACTGAGGCCACCACATCTCCAGATTTCCACCCCCTGGGACAAACATAGGCTGGCACCAACCATCCCAGGCTGCTGACTGGCAAGGATGACCTGGGATACGGTTTCTACCCGGCATTACAAAACACCCTACTGCGCGGCTCCACTGTGCCCGCTGCAGACGCCTTGTGGGATTACCCACTTATTTAACTCAATCGAGTGCTGGCCATAGGGTAGTGTTCTTGGTAAATCCCTAAGGCCAGGGGTAGCCCTGGCCCAGCTGCACCATCCCCCGGGAGCGAGTTCAAAATGTAAATTCCCGCTCACATGGCCATCTGCGCTTGAACAGCCCATGCGGCGCCCATGTCCACGGGAATTACAGGATTATTGCTGCAAGTCATCGTTTCACTGGAAAACAACCTCTCAGTAGCGGCTCAGGGCCCTCTGCAAACCTCCCTGAAAAGGAGGAAGAAGGCCAGAGCGCACGGAAGGCTTTGTAGGCCACCTGGGTTTCAGGCACCTCTTCCCCGTGAAAAACCCTGCCGAGCCAACAGACCACGCTTCCAGGGGCGAGACGAGAAGCCAGGTGAGCCCTACCCCAAAAACTCTGAAATCCACACTACAAAATTCAGCCTGGGACGCTTGGGGAAGATGAAAAAGGAAGAAAACATTTCACCCAAAATCTTTTCATTCTTCATCACTCCTTCCCTTCCCTTTCCACCCTGGCTTTCTAAATTGGTTGACTCTGGTCTCTGATCCTATCAGCGTGTCCCGGGTGTCTGACAACACCAATCACGAGCCCAGGCCTTCCTAATCGAGGGTGACGTCCAAGCTCCCCGGACGAAGTCTGTTTTGGGGGCTGATGCCAAGAATGTAATTCAGACAACACAGGCTCATCGATGGCAGATGGGAGGCGAGGAAGAAGGCTGTCAATACCGTGAATAACACAGCCAGTCAAATTCAGGTCCAGCACACCGTCCACATGCGGCACGTCCCACATGACGAATCGCCTGTGAAACCCTGCCTTTGACAGCTCCACGTTCGTCTGGCTTACGGAACACATTCCAGCCCAGGGATCAAAACAGGTAGCCACCTCCACCATCCCTGTCGTCACTCTACACGAGGGACAGCCATGGCCCCAAGCTGAGGTCCCAGAGCCGCTGGTGGGGATCCCGCGGAAGTGACAGCGCCCATCTCGACAGAGCGCAAGGTGAGGGCTGAGCGGCAGCAGCTGGCTCCGGGGAAGCCCCCTTGGAGAAGAAAGCGCATTGCTGGGCTGAGGGAAGCCGTGACTGCAGGAAGTCCCAGCCCCAAGAGCAGACATCCCAAAGATCTTCCTTTTCGGCCGTGAGCTGGGTCTTTCACAGCCAGAGCTGTCAAGAGCTTCATGGCAAAAACTGGAAACGCATGGACCAGTTAGTTTATGAAATGATTCTTTCTCCCCCGTGGGTGATAACTGAGGGGCCTTCAGGATAAACGTTCCCCTGGGGAGCAATGGTCGCCTGCCACTTGTTCTTTCAATGCTCGTGATGCGCCCATTTTATAGACGAGGAAGTCACGGCTCAAGCTGAATGATTCGCTGCTCCCATGGGCCATCCCGTCTTGCTGTGAGATGCAACTGTGGGGAAAGTGTCGAGCTCACAGGCAGCCCCAGCACCTGCAGCATCTAGATCCATCACCAAGCTTGGGCACCGCTCCTCCCCTGCGGAGCCGCTGAGACCTGTCCTTCCTGGTCCGGGACAGCCAGGCAGGAAGACACCAACGAGGCTTCCTCTGGGCCTTTTGTGGATTCCGGGGCTGGGACAGACCCGAAAGGCCCGTTTCGGTCTCCCCCTGTGGGCTCATCGTCCCACGGATCCATTCACATGTCCTCTCTGCCTGGCACAGTGGGGCACACGGGGCCCAAGACTGACCTGCACCCATACGTGGGGTACTTCTGGATTCTTAAATACTGAACAAAGGGAGAGGAGAAGCAATTCTGACAGTCCGCTGCAGACGGTTTGAGAAAGACTGACGCCCGATTACAGAGGCCAGGCCTGCCCCAGCCGTGGCCCTGCTCTTCCTCATCACACTCGTGCGCACGGAGCCGCCCCCAGTCATGCAATTTTGCCCCTGCAGGATAATCGCTCGCCTTCCGGACGAGGTGCAGCACGGTGTCCATGTGAGGTTGCTGCCCAAGCATCTTGAAGGCGCGGATGTATTTCTAAGGCAGCTGTCACCCTCAGTGCTGGGCACAGCCCCAGGCCCATGGAAGACACTCAGCAAGGTGACACGACAGCTGCTGACTGCAAGCCTCAACCGACCCGGGCACTGTGACGCGTGCAGGAGACAGTCCGCCCAACTACATCGGACCCCACGGTGCGGCGGCTGACAGAGCAGGAGTGTGCTTTGAAGCCAGCTAAGGTGGGAGGAGGAGCAAGGAGTCCCCCACGTGGTTGCACGAAGACCCTACGCTGTCTTCAGGGCGTAGGACTCGGCGTAAATGCTGCCACAGGGACGCTACTCGGGATGCAGAGGGGCGTCGCACTTGAGTGCGTCGGTGGAGCAGGGCAGGTAGTGAGAGCCGTGCGGGGGGACGGCACCTGGCAGCACCAGCTTGGGCCGCACACGGCATCTGCGCAGCTCTCCGAGGCAGCCTCGGCGTCCACCACCTCTAGGTAGAGAGCTCTGGGGTCGGGACGTGAGTGCAGAAGCCAGGACTGGACGCTGCAGCGGCTGTGCTCTCGGCACCGGTCTGGTCTGTGCTCCGGCAGAGGCTGTCGGTGGAAATGCGCTCCAGAAAGGGCGCCTTTCAGTGAATACAGGGCATGCCGTCTCCTTCAACAGTTACATTGAGAAATAATTGATGTTCCGTTCCATTTGCCCATTCAGTGGTTTCTAGAGTATATACAGACATGGGCAAGCTCCCTGCAGTCAATTCCAGGACATTTGCATCACCTCTGAAAGGAACCCTGTACCCTCTGGCCCACATACCCTGTCCCTCTGTGTTCCTCAGCAATGAGCCATAACTCATCTACTTTAGGCATTTCACACGAGCGGAACCATACAATATGTGGTTTGCGGGGATTGTTGTGCTTGTTTGTTTCTGAGACAAGATCTTGCTCTGTAGTCCTGGCCTACCCTGAACTCACTATGTAGCCCAAGGTCCTGCCTCAGCCTCCCAAGTGCTGGGATTATACGCATGCGCCACCACACCCTTCTTCACATAGCAGAGTTTATTCGTGGCTCATCTGTGATGGAGCACATATCAGGGTCCCCTTTTTTCAAGGCCCAGTAATACTCTGTGGTATCAAGGGACCCCATTTTGTTGACCCATTGGTTGGCTGGACTTCTGGGTTTCTGGGTTGTTTCAATGTTTTGGGTACAAAGAACAGTCCCGTCATGGCTTCCACTCCCAGGTTTCATCCTGAGTTCTCTAGTCTTTGAGGTCATCCATGAACTACTTGGCATCCTTCCCACAAATTCCTCTTCTGCTGAAATCAGCCATCATCAGCTTCTGTCACCATGAAGCACCCTGAACGACTCACACTTCAAGAGCAAGTTTTACTGAGTGCAGAGGCATTGGGCGAGCGGAAGACTTAACCCAGACTTCACCCAGATTCTAACCCTTCCCCTAATGAAAGCGGAGACTGGAATCTCACCTAGGCCACGCCCCCCCATCTGGGAAGGGCACAAAGCGGACTTTCCAACAGAAGAGAAAGCAAGCAAGCGGGGAGGGGAGGAGGCTGTAATGCTTCCCCGGCACAGGAAGCCCATTTCCTAAGTTTCAAAGGAAAGTTTTACACCTCGCATCTCATTTCACTCTTACCCTAAGACCTGAAAAGAGGTCAACTAATTCCAAAGATCTGAGAGCCAGTCAGGGGCTCCCGCCCCTTCAGGACAGACCGTGCCTTACGTCCTAATCCTGATGGATAACAGGGTGGGCTGTCTCCCTAGTGGGTGCATTATCTCAGTCACTTCCAGTCTATTTAAGCTTAGGCAGTGGGACCACTTAGCTAGGTGCCCTCTCCACGTTTCTCCCGTGACCAGCGCTAGATTCCAAGCTAGGCCTCCTCCTCCCAGACAAGCTCGTTAACAAGATGTGCCTCAAACACTCACGTTGCTTTCTTCCAGAAACGTAAGTGCTTTTGCTATGTTGTTCAATCGAAAAATCCGATGCGAGGAGGATTTGTACTCGTGCAGCTGTAAAAAAAAAAAAAAAAAAAACAACAAAACAAAAAACAGGACAAGACAAGCCGGCTAAGCCCACGAAGGCACTCTGGAACTCCCAAGGGCGAGGCGGGCTGCGTTTTTTTCCTCTGGTTCATCTTTTTCATATGAATTTCTGGACAAAGTTGGAAGCTCGTGGCTAAAACCCACTTGGCCTGTGCCCAAATCCCTGCGCGTGCGTCTCGGGACAGCAACCGTGACATCACGGGCCCTCGGAGGCCCGCCTTACTTACAGTACCCGGGACTTAACTCACGGCATTGGTGAACGGGGGATCTAAGTGGGTTACCAAGGGACAAATTTGTCCAATTTTTCACTCCAGCCCAGCTCCTGGCCTGTTAGACGCTCGCTTCTCCAGAGACCTGCGGAACATGGTCTCCCTGCTGGCCTGCTGCATTCGTTAGGGCCGTGCGCATCAGCCTCCCCCATCACTGCTCAGCTGCTAAATCATCCGGGCCCTCCCCAGGGGCGGCAGATGTTTCTGGGTTTTGGCCAACGGCTTTGTGCACAGTTAGCTCAGGTCCAGGGGAGCGGGGGCTGAGGAGGTAAACCTCCTGACAATGTTAGCTCTACACACTCGTGCGCCCGGAGTAAACTCCCCTGGCAGGTAAGTCCAGCAGCCTCCTCTGGGAAGGGCTACGCTGGAGGGGAAGTGGAGGCCTGCTCTTGACTGGGATGCAGAATCAAAGGCCCCCAGCATACGCCTACCAAGGCCAGGGAGGCTGCTGCCCTAATCTCTGGCAACAGAGCAACGGCCCCAAGTTGCTGGGCACACAACGAAGCACCAGGACACACTTTGTCAGGAAACCTTTTGGGGCCCACCCTGCTGGCTCCTTCTGACCTACAGGAAACCTAACGCTACTTTACTGAGGTAATGGGTTCGCCCTCCGCTAGAATTTCTCACCCAATTTGCACAGCTTCTTCCCAGCGTGGCTTACAGCCTCAGAGAGAAGGATAAGTGGGGGTGATGAGATCAGATCTGGCTACACTGGCTCTGAGAACAGAAGTGGGGCTCCCAAGGTTCAAAAGCTGAAAATAGACCCCCACCCCCACTGCACCTGTGTAGGCACAAAGGGTCACCAAGTCCAAACCACGGCGACGAGTCTAGAGCAGGATTCTCAACCTGGACGCCATTGGCATTTGGGATGGGACGTCTGCCCCCTCAGGGAACGCATGGCCACCAGCGGACATTTCTGGTTGCCACGCCTAAGGGTGCTACTAGCAGTTAGTGGTGAGAGACTGCACTCTGCAATGCACAGGACAACTCCCCACAGCAAAGAACTATCTGACCCAAAATGTCAGCGGTGCCAAGACAGAACCTGGGGAGAAAAGGACCCATCTGCATGAAGTAGACATGTGCATCACTTTGGCTCACGTCCAAAGTGGAGCCAATGTCAACACCAGCTGGTGCAATTCAACTTCACTGATACCTAAAAGAAGGTTCTAGAAGCCAACCATTGTTGAAGTAGTCTCAGGTCAGATAATAGGATCTAGCTGCTGGGAGTCCCTTGTCTTCAGTCTTTCGGATTCTTAGCCATCATTCCAGTGAACATAACGATAGGCTAGCTAAGCTTTAATTTTCTGGTTTCAACTTTTACCTATCACAGGCACAATAAAAACACTGGGCATTTTTCTTACTCACCAAAATATATTTGTTTTTTAAAAAACATACTGCTCAGATGTTTGTATCACCCTGAGCCACTGACAAAGGAATGTCAGGCTTCAGTGGCTCCTGTCACAGGACCATGTCTGTGTGGGTGTGCACAGGTACCTACTCTTATGGGACGGTTCTTAAATGGTCCCTGAGGCCCATGCGCTACAGGTTTGGTTGCTGGCCTACGCAAGGATTAGAAGGTGGCAGAACCCTCAGGAGGCAAAGCCTAGCAGAAGGAAGTGATGTCACTGGGGGTGTGACCTTGAAGGGATTATTGGGGACCTGAACCCTCCCTCCTCTTTCATTTTGCTTCCTGGACCCATGAGGCGAGCACTGACATTTACACCCCAAAGCCACAGGGCCCAGCAGCCGTAGACAGCAACCTCTGCAACTAGGGAGTCAAAATAAACCTTTCTTCCTTCAAGTTGTTTATCCTGGGTATTTTGTCACAGAGACAGGGAGCTAAGGCACCTTTCACAGTGATTTCCTTTGCATTTTGTTTCTTCCCAACCCCTCTGTGATGTACATACCAGACTTCGCCCGGACAGGACTTCTAACAAAGCCATTAGGATTTTGCCATCTTGTATGTCAACGAACAGGTCTGTAACTTCTAGAGGTGGGTCACACTGTGGAAGAGGGGAAAGAAAGGAGCTAATGCGTGACCTGTGTAATCCACAAAACTATGTCAGAGATGCATTTTCAGCGCAAGAGGAACTTCAGGCATCCCCATCTGTCTATAGGAAGAAAGCCTCTTAGGGGAGGCAGGGAGCCTGTCTTCCGGATGTGATATCCACGCCTAGCCACTTGGCAGGAGAGCTGTGCAAGAGATTCGGCCACAGGGGAATAAATGAAGAAGTGACCTTGAGCTCTCAGACCCCAAGATTAGCTCACAGCCCGGTTTCTCCTGAAGGGGAGAAAGAAATGGTACATTCTGAGAGCCTTCCACAGGGTAAAATAATCCTACTCGGACTCACAGGAAATTAGTGCAAGGCTTTCACTTCAGATTTGGGGAAACTGAGTCTCAAAGAGCTGGGTGATGGTTCCAGCATTCAGTCAGGTTGGTACAGTGCCACCTCCTGCACTGGGTCACACTGGCTGAACACAGCTGTACCCAGATCCACACTTCAATGGCACAGCCGGGGGTCAGTTACACTCTGGACCTTGGGCTCTGGCAGGGTCCCCTCCCCCACAGGCTCTGCAGACCACACCAGCTTGATTGTCACTCCCCTAACGCAGCATGGTTGGGGCTCTAGGGAACCTTGGGGAGCAGGATCCAGATACTGCCATCTTCATGAGCTCCAGACTGAGTGAAGGCCCCTCTTCTACCTTTTGGAACTGGGGCTTTGGCCGGGTCAGAGCAGCTGGCGTGGAAGCTCTGTCCGCTCTTGGGGCGATGGAAGGCTGGGTGCTCACAGAGAACACAGGACTCAGGGGGTGCTGTGTCCCTGGTACAGTGGCAGCCCTAACCAGCCAGCGACCCAATGGGAAGAAAATCTTGGAAACACAGTGCCCTGGCATCCAGCCGCCTTTTCCTCCGGGGAAGCCTCCTTCCGCCCCGGACAGCCTCCGAGGGCCCGTGTTTTATTTTTTATTAAGGAAGGTGGCATTTCCTTACACTTTATATGAGTCCCTGTGCCCCCAGTTAGTCAAAATACAGGGCGATTCCACCCACAGGTGCACAGAAAAGGGCTCTGCTTCAAGGGCAGCAGCGACTTTGAACCAAAAGGCAAAGTATTTTCTTAGCAAACTCCCGCAGCTCCTCGGGCACATTCCACCCGAGAGCACAGCCAGAGCGGCGGCATCGGGTTACCGAGGCTCTTACAATCCTTATTCCCGTTAATGCGAGGCAGAAAATGAGAGGTCCCGACAAAACACCGCTGATAAATGGACTAACAAACTTTCCAGGTACCAGCCCGACCGTGGCTGGCCCGACTCTGGACTCAGACCTGAAGAATAGTTTCCATTGGCCGTTCCTGCAGCAGCATCTCACAGGGCCTGGCCAGGCGCCACCGCGCTGGACGCAGGGGAGGGATTGAAACTGCTCCAGCCAAAACACTCCAGCAGAGCGTTCAGGGGATCGGTATGGCCGAACCAACGGCTCCCCCAGGGCTTTCTGCATGATCGAACTCCTTCGGTAAATTAGGGAATTTTTCCAGAAGCCCAGAGACTCAGTAAATATTCCTGACAGCCTTCAAATTGCAGTTAAGCCCAATTCACCAAGGAGTTCCTGGGTTTCCTTCCCATGAAAGGCCGTTCTTGAAAGTCTCAGGCTTGGAAACATGGCTGTTAATTTGGCCCTGTTTATTACGCATCAGCTTCAGGTGTTATCTGATTTATTTTCAGAGCTGGCGCTGCCCACCTGCCCCAGAAAAAGGGCAGCAGGTTGGCCAAGGAGAAAACCCCTGAAATGATAAATGCTAACAGAGGTTCACTTTGGGTGGTGAGTGAGTGTAGGGGATTTGCTATATGACCCTCTGTTCTTTGCTGTATTTATTTTTTTAATTAAAAAAAGAAAGAAAGAAGTACTCCACAGCTCCACTTGGTCCCCCAGTAGGAATTTCCAGCCACCCTGACACACATCAGGCATTAATTTAGGACTTCAGTGAGCTTGAATTTAGGGACTGGTCCACACCCCCTTTTTAAAATAAAATAACACTTCACTTTATGAGCAATGCCAAAAATGCACCAATAGTCAAACCAACTGGTAAATGATTGATACTGCTTCATGAACTATGCATATTTGTTCACTTGAAGAGGGCAAGGCACTGGTGGGTTAAGAGACAGCACTGGGCTAACCTATTCTGCAGCGGGGACAGAGGGCGGAGGGTCAGGTGCCTGCTCAAAATACTCCAGCCTGAGGGTGGACCGCATGAATCAGAATTTCGGTTAAGAGCTCCTCTTCCTAAAATCCCATTTATTGTTTCGGTTTTCTAATCATATTTCCTCTAAGAACAGCTGATAGTGACTCTTACACCTTTTAAAAGGAGAACAAAGACATGAGGGAGACCCCTAAGGTGCGGTGCAACCCGCTTCTATAAGTGAGGTGCTGGCTGGGTGTGGCTGGAGGACCAGAGACAGGTACTGCAGGATGCTCAGTCCTGGGCCCAGCCTTCCCAGGAAGGTGCTTTGGACTTCTGCAGGCTGTGCCCCCTCTCCTGCTCGGCACTGCTCTGCTCTCCTCTGCAGCTGCTCCTTTTGTCGGGAGGTGGTTCAGCTGCTCTGGGATGGTGCAAAAGCAGCCTGTAGACAAAAGCAACTCATGGCCAGCAAGCACAGAAAGTAAACAAACCGGAAGAGAAGAACCAATGAGTTAAATGCACCGGAGCAGCCACAAAGAGCTCAGGAAAGCTGCGCAATGGCCCAGCAGCCTCTGTTTCCTCCTCCCAGCAGCAAGGAGCAATCTGGGGTATCCTGGGGATGGAGGAGACCTGGCGGCCGAGGTGCACTGAGAAGGATCCCTGGCAGGCACTATTACCCATCAACAGCAGTGTCATGTGAGGAATGGGGATGTGGTTTTGCTAAGAGATATCCACAGCCCTCGTATAGATCACTCCAATGCCTCCAGGTGCCTCTTAACAGAGCCTGCTGGGGACCCCAGGCTGTGCTGTAAGGGTCGCAGGCTCAGAGCAACCATCTTGCATCGTCTGGAAGTGTGGGGTTGTTTGACATCAGTGTCTTCTGCTATCTGCTCGTGGGCCCTTGTGTAAAGACAAAAGCTCCCCCTCCTCAGCTGCACTGATACTCTCAGGAGAGAGGACGGCAGCTTACTGCATGGATGTGGTGCCAGCAGTAAGGAACGCACATAAATGCTCAAATGACAATGATACCGACAAAAACCACAGAGCCACCGGGCATGGCAGTGCACACCTATATTCCCAGTGCTCAGGAACTGAGTCAGGGGGACCCCTGGGACCCCAAGCCAGCCTGGGCCACATAGTGAGTTGAAAGCCAGCCTGAGCTACATAGTGAGGTCCTTCTCAAAAAACAAAAACACACAAACAAACAAACCAGAGCCGCCTCCTCCACACCATCCTAGGAGCTCCAGACTCAGTTACAGACACATCTACCGCTTGACTCATCTCCAACTCACCACTCACCTTTTCAAGATGTAGATTTATCCATCGAGTAAAAGTCCTCTTCTGCACATTTTCCCTCTCAACTGGAAACAAAGAAATGCCATTAGCTGTTAGCTGGGCGTGTTGTATACGTAAAATCCTGCCCTCCCCTTCCCCAGGAGATGCCGTGCAGACGGCAGACAGAGCCTTGGAGGGTCCCGGGTAAGCACAGAGTCCTTTCTGGAAGGGGCAGGTGGTGAGGCTTCAGCGGTACTCTGAACACATTTCCCCAGCTCAGCCCTCGAGCACCAGCACAACCCATGAGTTCAGACACACAGACGCGAACATTCTCTGCAGCTGCAACGAGCTTTGGACACCTGAGACTATGCAGGATGAGAAGCACGGGGATGTCGTGCGACACACACACACACACATGAAACCCTCAGGCAGCAGAGGGATGTGGTGGGACACACACACACACACACACACACACACACACACACGAAACCCTCAGCCAGCCAGGCTGAGTAGCCGAGTAGCCACCTAGTGGCTGAGACAGACCCCAGAAGCTGGGCGGGGATGAGTCCAAGGAGTAGGACCTAGGCTGGGGACTCTCGGACGAGTGTGGTAGAGAGAATGTGACGCCTTGGACCAGTCTCCCACACCACGGGGATGGGGACGCCCCATAAGGACACCTGGGGTCCCACCCGCCATGCACAGCGCAGTCCCTGGCACAATAGCTACTTCTCCTTCCTTGGTAGCTAATTTTTTAGAGCCAGGTAAGTCTTCACACCTTCCAAGAAGGCAGAGCTCTGCAAGCACCTGCAGTAGAGCCGCAGTGAGCGGACGGACGTGCACTAGAACTGGATTCCTTTGTCCAGGGGACAGCATTACCCCAAGGACTCCACAGCCAAGAGCTTTCATTGTGGGGCCCATCATCCACCACCTGCACCTGAGGCCATTTCTTTTTTTAATTTATTCTTTATCAGTACATGTTTGAGATACATAAGGAATACACTCATCTGGGGGAGTTGGTCCATGTACATATCGCACCTTAATCATTTTTTCCTTTCTTTCTTTCCACTCCATTCCTAGACCCCCTTCTCACCTACAAAAGGCAGTTTGTCTCCATGCATCTGTAAACCTTGTAACAGCCCTGCCAAGTGGAAACTCTTATTCCACAGGTGAGCAAAAGCGGGCTGACAGAAGACAGACACAGTGGCTTGCCCAGGGCATCGGCTGGAGGGAGGCAGAGCTGGGCCACGCCCAGGTCTGGGCCAGTGCCCTGCAAATGGAAGGCTTGGGTTGGAATCCCAGGTCTCGTGATTACTGCACCACGGTGCCTGCACGAATAATCGTGTTTTTAGCAAAAGGCACGAACATTTGCTATGCGGCCCGGCCGAGCCGGAACTTGCCCGTGCATTGCTGAATCTGATCTACACTGTAACCCCAGACAGACACTGTGACAGTCTTCAGATGTGACAAAGGGGACCGGGAGGTGTCATACTTGCCAGAGGCCGCACAATCAGCAGGGTTATCATCTATATTTTTCAGATGAAGACACTGAGGAAAGAAGACTCCACACAGAGCCAAGTGGGGACACTGGCTCCTGAGCTTCTGCCCCTCCCCTCTGAGCTTGGTAGCGGTGCTGTCTCAAGGCCCTCGAGGACTCGCACCTCATTCCTGCGGAGGTCACGGCGCCCAGGGCTTCAAGCTGCACGCCTCTAGGGAAGCTTCCCCGATAAATCATTAAGGTCTAGATTTCAACATACTGGAAGAACACATCACAGATGCCTGAAGCCATTCCACTCTTCTTTAGCAATAAGAAAACCAGGGCCAATTTAGCTCCTGCAGGAGGAAAAAGGCTACGGTTTTCTATAACGACGACAGTGCTTTCTCCTCTCGGCCTCCGTAAATCACATTTTACTGTTACGCCTTTCAATCTTTTTAATCGAAAAGTCGGCACACAGTAATTATCCTCATGGCTGCTTTTCTCTCATTGTTCTCCTTTTCTGAAAGGCAAGGTCCCTCACTGGCAAGTAGGTGTAAGAATTAAAGATCTAATTCCAGTAAACTGCTTCATAGGGAGGAAGGGCAGGGAGAGAGGAAGAGAAGGTGGTAGAAAAGGGAGGCGGCAGGAGGGTGAGCATGCCCAGACCCGTGAGTCAGAGTCTCAGACTTCCCGAAGCCTGGAGGGTAGCCTGTCTGTCCCCACTTGAGATCTCCCTGCCTCTGCAGCGACAGATCTACCTCATTCTCTTGGACAACTGCGGTGTCTTCCACCATCGGGGTTCCCCACCCCCTGCTCCATGGCTCTGTGCAGCTCTTCGTTGTTGCGAGTGACACGGCAGCAAGCATCCCTGTGAGAGCGCCCTGGCCCATGGCTCTCTGTGCACAAACATGTGAATGTATTTCTTCTCCTTCACAACTCGAAGTGGAACTGCTGGGTCTCAGTGGTAGGCACATTTAAAATTTTAATAGCTACTTCCAAACTGCCCTCCCCAAAGGCTGCCCTCGTTTATATTTGCACCCCCACCTGTCTTTAAGCAACTTTATGAGGACTGTAAAGTATTTACACACACATTCGAACACGCAGGCTGGCTTCTCCATCTGGCCTCAGAGACAGCAAAGTATACACCCCGAAACAGAAGTGCATTTAGTAACAGCCTGGGAGAACCTGGTCAGACTGCTGCTTTAACTTCACTCAAGGGTGTGAATGTGGAGGTGGGTGTCTGTCGGTCTGCACATAGCTTATCCATTCAAGCATTCATCCACCCATCCACTCACCCACCCATTCTTCCATCCGTGCACCTGTCCGTCCGTCCATCCATCCATCCATCCATCCATCCGTCCATCCAACCATCCACCCACGCATCCATCCATCCAACCATCCATCCATCCATCCAACCATCTATCCATCCATCCATCCACCCATCCGCCCCCCCACTAATATTTATGCAGCGATTATTGTACGCTGGGAAATATGCCAGGCTCTGTCGGCAAAATCAGCAATGGAGAGTTAAGCATTCACGGAATCTGCACTCCAAGAATTCACAGCCAAGCAGGAGAGAAAAAACATGGATGCTGCGGGGCACACGTGCAAGGAGAAACAAATGGCAAGTGGCAAGGGTCCTGCGGAGAGGAGGAGGGGCCTCCACACCCCATGGTGGCTCCTCCAGGGCCCTAAGAGGGCCCACAAGAGATGGAGACACTGATCCTGAAAGCAAAGCCCGTGTATTCGAACCCTGCCCTGACTCAGAATCAACCTCTGGGCAAAATCACACAAATATCAGCTCTGACACGTAAGGGATGACAGGAGGCTATCTGGAGGCGATGAGGTCAAATCACATGCAGCAGACAAGTCTCAGACTGAAATAGAATGAAGACCCCATTTACAAGACGTAGAAAAGGATAGGTCAATATGCTGGAGAGAGAGAGGGACTGCGAGAGCCCCCGTCTGTCCCAACACATCTGCGCCAGGGTCACACTGAGACCTTGGGCAAGATCGTGCCTTTCCAAATACCCTTGTCTCAAGTGCCCCCACATACATAATGAGGATATCCATGCCTTTCTCACAGCAAGGTTATGGAGATTACACCAGACCACCCCAAAAAGCATCCCCAGCAGCTGCTCCCCCAGCCCGTTTCCCGGCCCCCGGGTTCACACAGCACGCCTGGATATTGGGGATGGCGTCTGGAGTCTGGACAGAGGGCCGCAGCTCTGGCCTGGCCTTGTCTGTTCCAAAACACCCACCCCCATCCCGCAGACGGTCCTCCTCTGGCCTGCCAAGACTCCATAAACTTTATATAGTTTCCATAAATCCAACGGCCCCTTTTTTCCCATCACGTTGTAAAGGTGTAGGAAACCATTTCTCTGGATGGGTCTGGCCTTCTCGGGGAGTGTTTGTGGGGCCGGGGTGGCTTTACTAGGCAGCAATAGAGTAATAACCATGTTGTAAAATCGCCATCCTGGCTCTGCCTGGCCAGCCAGGGTGTCAAGAGAGCGGGCGGGGGAGTACACCAGGCCCCGGATCCAGGGACAGGGGCCGAAAGGAGGGCGGCCCAGCTTTCTGGCTCTGCGCCACCAGGCCAGACTCCCAGGTGCCACTTCAGCTCTGGCTTCACCAAGAAGAGACCATCTAAAAAGAGAAGTGGGACATTCCACCCTTCTGCAGGTCACCCAGGGCTGGCTCAAGCCAGGGAGCCATGAGAGAAGGCCACCAGCTCTGGGTTGAAGTGGACTCAGGTACACTTGTGGCCTCTTGTCCCTAGGTCCACATTTCCCCAAACCTACTTCCCATACGGTGTTTCTTCTGTCATAGTTCTGTTCTTCTCTGCCTAGCACAAAGGCTTGGTAGTTTTATCTGCTTATTAGAAAAAACACATACATCATAATAAATTATTATAACAATAGAGGAAAGCATAGAGGAAACGACAGTCTTGAAATTTCACCATGCCCAGAGAAAACATACATGTACGCATGTGCACACGCACACAACTGACATCCATAGATTCTCTCCCATAAAATTTCAATGTGATCAGGGCTGACTCAGTTTCTAAAGTGTAGCCCACTGGTCACGAACATCAAGAGCTTCCGGGGTGACAGTTAAAATGGTACTTCCCAGGCTCCACCTAAGATCTGAGGACTCAGACTCTCTGAGACAGAGGCCTGGGAAGCTGCATTTACCCAGTGAGGTCTCGGTCTTGGCAGGACAAGAGACTTAGCTTAATTCCTTGGTGACCCTCGGGCAGGGCAGAGACGCAGATGCAGCATGCCAGTCTGGAGTGGAAGAAAGACTGGCTGTTTGGAGCCAGACCTGGCCCCACCGTGGCCCATAAAATGGGGAGAGGTCCTCAGGTTTAATCGATGACAGATCAGATGGGGAATGCTTGGGGGACCAGGCAAGAAAGTCACTTCCTGTCCTTTGCCCACAGGGCGCTTCCTGACGATGGGTACCTACAGAGTGGCTTTGGTCACCGAATTCCCAGGCTGAGGGATCTGATTCTCCTGAGAGGTTTCCATATACCCCTAGGAGGCCCCGTCTGGACTGGCTCATTGGGGCCACTTGATTCCAGCCTCAGAGACACTGCTGGGAAGGGAAGAG